CAACCAATTAACCCTAAAATGAAAAGGAAAAACTAGGATCAAATGTTTTCATTCGTTATATTAGTTGTTATTATTAAAAAAAAAAGAATACTACAATTCCGACGAATCAGATCATCTTCTAGTGACTAATAAAGTACATGACAGCTATAACATTGAGTGAATTTTGAACCCACGATGGTCTAAGGATGTTGTGAGCCAGAGAAATTTAAATTAGTGGACCAAAAAGCTCTCTCTGATGGTTGAAAATATAAAACGCAATAGAGTCAGTCAGACTTCCTCTCCTTCTAGTACATGACAAATTAATACTATTTGATGTGAAACTTTAATTTGGGAATATTCTTGAAATGTACGTGTGAGCCTTTGAAGTGAAGTGAGTCAAAAACTTAATCTCCACCATCAAAACGATCTGAGAAATTGAAAAGGCAAAGACTTGAGGAAAGCTTGGAGATTCACCAGAAGGATTAAGCACTTTCAATGGACAATGAATTAAGGGGAATTTGTTATCATTCACCAAACAAAGGCAACATTAGTTACCTCTTCTTTAGATATTTGCGTTTCTTCGTTAATTGTATCTTTTCGAGTTTTGTCTTCTTTTCTTTTTGCTAACGCTATGAACTTTTTGACTTGAGAGTGTAATCAAATGATGAGTGTCATTAATCATTTCTCATGAGAAACAACGTTATGAAGACACTATCAATTAACAATTTAGATATATCTAATACTTTCTCCGTCTATTTTTTTATGTTAAATTTTTTTGCTAATAGATAAAAAAAAATTCATTATTTTTCTTTATTTTTCAAAACAGTATATGTTTTTATTATCAACTCTACAACATTTCAACTAATAAAAAACTAATAATATACAGAATTCAAATATTATGGCTCTTCAAAAATCACTTAAAACTTAAAAAGCATTTGCTTGGTTGGACTTGGATGTATGGGAAGGAATCTTGACCATTGAATAAGGCATTCCCTTGGTTGGAGGAGAAACATTCCTTTTTTAATTTACAAGTACCATAAGACTATAAAAAGGAGTCAATCACATCAATAGTTAACTAGTAGTAGCTTTTAAATTGGGATTTGATTATTAGCCCGTTTAAGCTAATAATTATTCTCTTTTTCATTAAGAGGCAACCAAAAGACGGGAATACTCATGGAAGATGCAAATGGTTTTGAAGAGACCTCACTTTGTTTTATTTTCAAGTCATTTTCATACACTTTAGATTTCAGCCGTACGTTTTTCTGTTTCTCTTCTAAGAGCACCATTATCGGTGATATTGGTTTAAAAAGAATCTCATTATTATTTT